GTGTCTGTCTCTCCAGTTTCACCTTTTTACTCATTAGACATCCTTTACATAGCAAAATGGGTAATTCGAAGTTTTAACCATCTTTGAGTTAGACATTCTTTTTTATAAAATTATTTATTTAAATTATCTGAAAGGCACATGGACAGAAAGAATTTCTTATCTGCTGGTTCAATCCCCAAGCACCTGTAATAACCAGGGCAGGTGCTATTTCTCTGAAAACAGAAATGGAGGGTTTGGTGCTGTGGCATAACAGGTTGTTATGCCAACTACAGCGCTGGCATCCCTCTTGGGTGTGGGTTTCAGTCTCAGCTGGTCCACTTCTGATCTAGCTCCCTGCTGATGGCCTGGGAAAGCAGTAGAGGATAGCTCAAGTGCTTGGGCCCCTATACCTGTGTAGGGGACCCAGAGGAAGCTTTTGGCTTGCAAATGCCCAGCTCCAATCATTGCAGTCATTTGGGAAGTTAACCAGAGGATGGAAGAACACTCTCTCCCTGTCTTTCCTTCTCTCCCTCTGTAACTCTGCCTTTCAGATAAATAAATCTGTTAAAAAAAAAAAAAAAGCTGGGAACTCAATCCTGGTGTTCCATGGTGAGTGCAGGGACCCAACTACTTGAGTCATCATCTGCTGCTTCCCAGAGTGCACATTAGCAGAGACCTGGAATTGGAAGCAAAGTCAGGACGTAAAGTCGACACTCCAGGATGGGACTCAGGTGTCCCAAGCAGCATCTTATGTAACGCCCATTTATGTAAAGCCCTTCCCCCTGAGTTAGACATTCTTTCTATCCCCTGCAAGAATGAAGAGACTATGGGTACTTAAAGAAGTTAGGTAATAACTTGCCCTAGGTTATAAAAAATCTATTCACAGCTTGACTCAACAAGTGTCTAGGCAGGAGGCAGAGATAATCTTTGTATGCCAGGAGTATAAATGTCATACAAACAATCAGATTTCTAGATGTATATATGCTACAATGCTTAGACATGGTGAAAAACATTTCTAATAAAAAGTATTACTTGAATTTTAAAAAATGTCTAATGTATTATGTGTGAGAAGACAGGGTGGTGTGTAGTTAACACTGGGATTTTACCTTCCTGGCCTGCTCTTCAGCTCGCTCTTTTTTAATTTTTTCCAGTTCTGCAAGAAGAGCTGCAGTGTCATCATCATCACTCTCCTCTTCAAAATCTTCATCTTCCTCCTAATAAGAACAGATAGCCCAGGAGATTGGTGAGAAAATACACATTATTCATTTTTTTTTTTCCACAAAAATTGCCCTTGCCAAGTAACTTTGGGGCAGAATTAAGTTTCTCCATGGCAAAGATAAATGCACCTAAATACTAAGATTAAAATCAACAACCAAATTACAACAAAATATAAAGTCCCACAGAAGAAGTTTACAAATACTCAAAAATGTCAATCCCTGACAAAATACCTTTCAAATTTACATGGCTAAAAAAAATTTCCATCTGAGAAGGTTTCCAAAACCAGAGAGGAAAATTTTACACTGAAACACTGTATAAATGCACACTGTATCACTCTAAAGAGTCAAAACACTTTATGTAGCTCAGAACAACTTTAAACCAGCAAGGATAATCAATAGCATGAACAGAATGCCAAATTTCTAGAAGAAAATATTTTGAAATGAATAATCATTTAAGTTTCATGTAAAATCAGTATTCTATTTAATTACTGTAACTCCGTCAAGTCTAGAATTAATTGCTTATATACATAATTAGAAACTATCCATGAAAAGCCATTCAGATTTTTTTCATTGTCTATAGAAACCTACAAATTAATTACAGACTGTAGGGTCTCCATGGATTTCAATATTAACTGAGAGGGTACTGTTTATGGAAAACCTAGTATAAGAGTACCCTGTGAATAACCTGGTAGCCCCACCTCTAGGTTTAATACAGGAAATTATTTTGGGGGGAAAGTACACATTTCAACAGATTGCTTCCATTTTTGGTTCTTCATAGATCAAATTTGTTTGTGAAGTTCTTAACACAAAATAACATCTTTTATTTTAAAGTCAACTGCAAAGTTTAACATTGAGCTTAGGGCTGCATTTGAACAATAGTGAGTGAAAACAAACACATGTGACTTCTTAAATACAAAAGCATAAAAATATATTTCAGAAAAATGCAGTAAAAAATGACTAGATAAGAGGTGAAAGTAGGAAATGAAACATACGTCTGTTAAAGGATCATCTGCGTCAAGGTTGGCAGCAGGAATCTGGTCTAACCGAGGCTTCTTGGATACTGAAGAGGAAGTTGTATGTTCTGGGGGTAGGCAAACATCACCTAGTTACTGACACACGTTTCTTACGATTCAGGGACTCATGGGCACAAAACAATCACACTAAAAGCATCCCAGCAGCAGGGCTCATACAGTGGCTAGCAGATAAGCATTTGGATAAATATTTATCGAATGACTTAATGAAAGCACTGATTTTATACAGGAACTGCGGCCTCAGGAAATTCAGGGAATAGTTTATACATGTTGGGAACCTAAACCTGATCATCACTTCTAGGCTAGTTAAGAAAGCACTGTAATTCACACTAATACTTAAAAGCAAACAAACAGAAATATTAACAGTTTCTAATTAACACATAAAAAAATATGGAGAACATAATTTTATGAGACAAACGTTTGGGATAGCGTTAGTACCCCGGGTTGGACGATCCCTATTTTTCTCTCTGGCAGCAGCTCTCTCTCTCTCTTCCAGCTCTCTCCTGAAGTCCCGGTTACGAACCTCTTCAGGGGCATCCTGAGTAGTTTGCCTAAATTATAAACCAATCAGGGTCAAAAGGTTACTAGAAAGAAAAAAATACATGGCTGTAGCAATGAAATATAATTCATCACAGCAACTTTGTCCTTTAAGCCTAAGAGGAAAGTTGTCAGAATTATGACACAATCTGAAGGTTGAACTGCATACTTTCCCATAATACAGCTACAGATTTATTATAATGTCCTTAATTTTTTGAACTATGCACTTGGCTCAGTGGTTATGGTGTTGTTTGGGACACTCCATAAAGGAGTGTCTGGGTTTGAGACTCATCTTTATTCTCCATTCCAGCTTCCCAGTAATGTGAACTCTGGAAGGCAGAAGGTGATGGTTCAAGTACTCAGGTCCCTGTCATCTACCACATGGGAGACACAGATTGAGTTCTTGGTTCCTGGCTTAAGTATGGCCCAGCCCTGACAGTTGCAGGCGTTTGGGGAGTGAACCAGCAGATGGGGGATCTCTTTCACTCCGCTCTTCAAATAAAATAAATAATTTTTTCCCTAAAAGCAGGTATTTAATTGTTGTATTATTAGAAATTCAGGGCCTGTTACAGTAACGCTTTCAATGTCATGTTGACTAATGCTGGTAAGTGCATAGTTTCTCTGAGATAATCCACTAGCTACCATTCCATCTCCATATGGAAACTCCTGGATAATAAGAATTTGGGCTGCAGGAAGGGGATAGAACTTTAAAATCACAGAGTGTAATTTTGATGTTAAACTTTCTATTGTATTCTATTCCTCTGAAAATGGTAACTGAAGTGATACAATTCAAACCTACCCCTACTACACATCATGGCCATGCTTTTCAACAGATTAGGCCTATTTCATGAGCAAGAAAAAGCTGCGAGTCTTTATACCTATATTTTATCTTTGTATGGGAAGGTAAGTCTCGGCTGGAATACTGCTTTGAGAGTTGGCTCAGATCACCTTCCCCTTTTCCTCTTCCACCTCTTGCAGGTTCAAAAGTTGGTCTGGCTGCTGTCGTCATCTTTGACGCTATGGGGGAAAACAAAGTTGTTTCTAATGCGACATACTTTCACTGTGTAAGGTACTAAACAAATATCCATCCTTGTGAAATAATCTCAAAACTTGCTTCAATAACCCTCCCAAACCAAAGTTCTGAAGGAAACCAATTATGAGGTGCAAGGGCAGCTTTTATCTCACACCAAAAATTCTGTGGTGAAGACCTGAGTTTCTGCTCCTGTTCCCCTTCTGTGTGGCCTTGGACAAGTGACCAATCTTTCATTTATAGAATGGGGCTATTCCTCAAAGAATTATGAGATCCCACATGTCAAAGCCCTAAAAGTTCTCAGTTTAAACCTTAGTTTAAATGTCCTTAAGGAAAAGACAAAAAGAAAGAAAATTTAAAAATCACTGACAAACTCTTAAGTGTCCCAGAGGTAAGTGTGCTGAAAATCAGTGGGAAACATTCTCCAACAATCTTGTGGATTCGATTTTCTCCTGGGACAGTCCTCACAACATACACGTCAGGCTACAATTTAAGAAATGCTCCAATGACAGAAACCTAATCCTCAAAGGAATCTGATAACGGAAAGAATACTGCCCAGCTGATGGGGCTACTAAGAGCCCAAAAGCCCGTTAACGTCAGAAAAGCAAGTGTCTGGGGAGGGTGCAGAAGACGGCAGGATTATTTTGTATGCTTCCCTCGGTTTCCAAAAGGCCGTGAAAGCCTGCGTAAGGAGAGAGAGAAGCAGGTTTTCTAGGGTCGGGGGCGCCGCCGCTTCCCAAAAGCTTCAGGTTGATCACTCCGGCCGCCCGGGAGCCCGCCTTTCGCCTGGCTGGCCTGCTTCAAGCCCCGGCTTAAAGCCACAGAGGGCAGAGCTTCGTTCCGCGCTGGAGGCCGGGGGCTGCGGGCGCGCCCGGCCGGCACCGGGCTCCACCGCCCGTCCGCGGCTCCCGGTCTTTCCCGCCGGCGCTCGGCACTCGGCCAACGCCAACTCTGACCCCGACTGCCGTCTCCCACGCCACCCGGATAAGAAACACAAACTGCTCTCCCCGTGCCGCTCACCTAGGAAGACGTCCGATACTACACTCACGGAAAATCATACAGACGCCATTGTGCTTGATAGCTCCCAGAAACCTCTGCGCCCAGGGCCAAAGCCCAAGACCCGGAAGCAAAACCCGAGCATTTTTAACCGCCCCAAAGAGGTGGCGGCAACGACCAATCCTCAGAGGCCAAAGTGGAAGTCGGTGTGACGACATCAAGGGGCGGGGCTGAAACGGCCCAGGGGGCGGGCATTTGAAATCAGTGCTTTAGAGCAGACCTTGAACATCATCTTACGCTTTCGAGAGCCAGTTACTTAATGTCTCTTCCGTCTTTCCCTTCCCCAACCCCCCCTCCCAGACTCCTTCATTCCGGCACTGCGTGGATGGAAAACCCGGTGTAGCCGACACCACATCCATGGCTAGCGGGAGAGAGCGTGCAAAGGGATTTCACCAAACAGTTTAAATCCAACGATTCTGTTTCCATCCTTTCTCCTGAGCTAGAGCCAACAAGCCTAGAAAACTAGGCTGCGGAAACACTAGTGTTTTCATTTAATTGGATATGAAGAAAGAACAAATATGTGCGGGGGCAACCACGATCTTTATAAAGGTACCATTCCTGCAAAAATATTAGACTTCACAGCAAAGGTTGTATTCGTATTGTTTGCTAAGTTTTTTTTTTTTTTTTCCCTTTAAAATGCCCTTAAGTTCTGTGAGAGGGGAGATGTCAGCATTAGCGTTTACGACCTTGAACGTTTAGAACGGTGGGCCCAACCGCCAGTGGCACGGGGTGGAATTATTAAGATGGCTACTGATGCATTAGGGGAGGTTGTAGTAAGACCAGGAAAAGGCAAAAAGTAAATCACCAGTCGTTTTTCTTTCTCCCCTGAGAAACAAGCACTCTGAGAGCAGGGATCTTGTTTGTTTAGTCCTTCCTGGTAGAGTGTCACACATGGTAGTATCCTGCGCAGTATTTGTTAAACCAGTGAAAATTTAAGTTTTCCCAATTTAGTGTCAAAATTGAACATTGAAGGATTTTTCCTGAAAATTCTTTCTTTGAAACTTTTAAGTGAAACCAATGTAGAAAAAGCGCCTTCCTCTGTAAGGTTCAAGTTGGAAAATTTTGTGTGTGTTTGCTTTTTCTTTCAAATATATTCCTCCCCAAGTCCTGCACATCAGTAAAGGATGCAGCCATCACACTAGTTACTCAAACCAAAAACCCCAGGGCACCTACTTAACAGTTGCTTTTGCTTCACTATTCACATCCTGTTCCTTCGCAAGTCTTGTCAAAATTTACCCTAAATTCCATTCCACAATCATGATCTCATCAAAACCACCATCATCTTCCACCTGGATAGTGATTAATCATAGCTAGCATTCCTCACTTGCATAAAACCCCCTGCACTTAGATTAAAGACCACCTTTCTCACCGTGGCCTGTGGAGTCTGGCTCCTGCCTTATCTCCCTGATTTCACTCTGAAGCAGTCATTGTTACACACCAGACTCTCCATGGCTGGAGGTGCAGCTACGTGGGCATTTCTGTTTCATAAAATAAGGCAGGATTGGTCCTTACCTTAGAACTTTATAGTGGCTTTTCTCTGTTGCCTATAGTCCAAGATAACTGTTGCCATCCTTCAAGTAGCAGTTCAAATGCTACCTCCCCAGGGAGATTTTCCCTGACCTCTGCATTTGCATCCCCGCCCCTCCAGCATGCAAAGTCGTATCATTATCCTGCTTCATACCAGTGAATACTACCTGAACCTGTTCTGTTCCTTCTTTATTGCTTTGTTGCTTGTCTGAGAGGCAGCATAGCAAAGCCATTAAGCGAAAGCCCGACTGTCTTGGTTCTAAACTCCAGTTCTGCCCTTTTGTAGCTGTATAACCTTAGGCAAGTTATTTTCCCTTTCTAATGCGCTCAGTTTCCTCATGTATAAAATGGAGAAAATTCTAGTTCCTACTTCATAATGTGACTGTAAGAATGAATATTTGTAAAGTGCTTAGAACTGTCTCAGCAAATAATACTTGCTAAGTAAATGTTAGCTATTATTATTAATATTATTTTATTATTGTTGTCTATCTTCTTGTATTAGAACATAAGTTCCAGGAAAGCAGGAATCTTGTCTGTCTTGCTCACTGGTGTGTTCTCTGCATATAGAGCTGTGCCTGACACTTAATAGGTGCTGAGTAAGTATTTTCTGAATGAATGAATGAATGAATGATGCACTATGAAATAGAGGAATGTAGCAGCGATGGCAAGATGGTAACACAATTATAGCAAATAGTTTTTATGTTCCAGCTGCCCTTTTCAACCCTGCATGAATCACTTTAATCTGTTTAATTCACAGCCCACTGCTCCATCTTTTGACTGCTAACTGCTACTCTATAATTTCATTAGCACCAACATCTAACATAATCAGTCCACAAAAACTAAGAGCTTTTGACCTATTGACCTGAAAGTATTAAAAGAAACTACATATGACATGAAAGTACTAATAGGAAAAAGTTCTGATTTATTTCAACAGTTTGAAAGTATCAGAAAGGAAAAAATATGTTTACTGAAGACTTAACATTCACCCTATCATTTAACTCTGCTGGCCAAAATCATATAACCTCCCAAGAACTCTTATTTTAAATGTATTATTACCATAATATAGTTGAGCTTTTGCGTCTGCAGTCGTCTTTTGTCCCTCTATTTTTCCCCTCTCCAATAATATTTACCACATTCCCTTCTTTATTCAAGTCTGTGTGCCTTTTCCATCTCCTTCCCCTTCCGCTTCCTTTCTCCTATGAGTAAAACATCTTAATTCTCGGGGAAAATAGATCTTGAAGAACCCCTCATCTCCCCTCTGGGCAGATCTATAGGCTACCTTTGGCTGTGCCCATATCCTCAGCATTCTATTGGTACTAGAGCTGAGGTAACCTGTGCCCTGGGTCTCAGTCACTTCACTCTTACTGGCACCCTGCTGTATTTCCTGTTTCTCCTACTCTGCGAAGCCTTCCCTTTTACCACCTTTTGTACATGGGGTAGTGCGTCTTAACCTTAAAAATGTTCCTTCATTTTAATATGAGAAAGGTAGTATTCTAATTTAATAGGAAACAATGTTTTCTATAATAAACTGAGACTGCAAAACTGGCTATTCTTATAATCATATAATTATAATCATAATCTTATGATTCTAGCTTCAAGGCTTACACAAAAGCAATACCCAAAAGGGAAAACAAAAAAACATTAAACCAAAGGATAAAATTTAAAGCTTACCTATAGGAACTAGTTTGGAAAGATTTTTTGATCAAAGCAGTATACCTGAGTTTTAAAATATATAATTTTACAATTTTGTCTATACAAAAAATGGATTTTATTGCAGAAGCTGCCCAAAACAAAATCCATAGGTAAAGGCCAGGTTAGCATATAAGGTTTTTTAATGTATATAACATATAAAGGATTACTACTACCATAGCAATACACATAATATGAAAAATTTGAACCCAATAAAAATGGACAGAGAATGTAAATGGCCATTTAGAAAAAACAATTCAAACTTGACAGTAGACAATAAACATGAGAGATACTCAACTTTCCAATGAGGAAAACGAAAATAAAATAATAATAATCACATTGGAAACAATTTAAAAAAACGAATGCAGTTGGATGGGATTGAAATAAGGGGCATGCAGTGAGACAGTGGGAGAGGCATGGACTCCCCATTGCTCTCTCAATAGAAGCCCAAGTGCTCACAGTGGCAGCGGGGTTTTCCATGGTCCAGCCTTTCCCCCGTCTCCTTGATGTCATCACTTAGGCTTCCTGGTGTTGCTTGAACAAGAGCAGCTGCTCCTGCTGTAGAGCCCCTACACTAGCTATTTTCTCTGCCAAGAACACTCTGCCCTATCTAATTCAAGTGTTCAAACGAGGCCAACCAGTCTTGACAGCCCCTTTAAAACTGACTGTTCTCTTCTGTACCCTAACATTCTGTACTCGTATCTCCTTACCGTGTTCTTTTTATGTAGTATGAATCATCTTCCGTGATCCTGAGTAATTCAAATATGTTCATTGATTGCTTCTTTCTCTTCCAAGCAAATATAAATTCTACAAGGGAGAGCATCTCTGTTTCGCTCAGCGATGTAGATCAAGCATCTGAAATAATGCCTGCCACTAACAGTTGCCCAGTAGACATTTTCCAAATGAATGGATGGATGGATGGATGGATGTCTTAACAAGAAAAAAAAAATCACATCCTGTTGAAAACTCATTGCCTTAATATGTTTTATACTTCCAAAGAGAAAAAAGTAACTTACGTTCTAGTAGTCTGAAGTCTTGACTTTTAAACAAAGAGGTGATAAGATCCGGAAAGATGATTTCCAGGTTTGTCATCAGCATTCTATTTAAATCAGACATACCCCCAGTTCAATCACAGCTAATCCAATCTCTATCTCTTCCAATGGATTTAGTTCTCCCAATTCTAGTAAACTCCACATCACAAAGTTCTCAAACTATAAAATGTGCAACTTTTGCTTAAAAATGTTTTTTGAGGATTTTTAATTAGAGATAGAAAACCTTAATACCCGTGAGTCAGAAATCACATTTAAAATAAAGTAATATAAATAATGAAATCTTTGAATTTTTTAAACTTTTATTTAATGAATATAAATTTCCAAAGTACAGTTTATGGATTACAATGGCTTTTCCCCCCCATAAATTCCCTCCTACCTGCAACCCTCCCATCACCCACTCCCTCTCCCATTCCATTCACATCAAGATTCATTTTCAATTATCTTTATATACAGAAGATCAATTTAGTATAAATTAAGTAAAGATTTCAACAGTTTGCACCCACTCCGAAACACAAAATGTAAAATACTGTTTGAGTACTAGTTATAGCATTAATTCACATTGTACAACACATTAAGGACAGAGATCCTGCATGAGGAGTAAGTACACAGTGACTCCTGTTGTTAACTTAACAAATTAACACTCTTGTTTATGGCGTCAGTAATCATCCTAGGCTCTTGTCATGAGTTGCCAAGGCTATGGAAGCATTTTGAGTTCGTCGACTCCGATCTTATTTAGACGAGGTCATAGTCAAAGTGGAAGTTCTCACCTCCCTTCAGAGAAAGGTACCTCCTTCTTTGATGGCCTGTTCTTTCCACTGGGATCTCACTCCCAGCGATCTTTCATTTAGGTATTTTTGTTGTTGTTGTTGTTTTGTTTTGTTTTTGCCAGAGTGTCTTGGCTTTCCATGCCTAAAATACTCTCATGGGCTCTTCAGCCAGATCCAAATGCCTTAAGGGCTAATTCTGAGGCCAGAGTGCTGTTTAGGACATCTGCCATTCTATGCGTCTGCTGTGTATCCTGCTTCCCATGTTGGATCGTTCTCTCCTTCTTAATTATATCAGATAGTACTAGCAGACTTTAGTCCTGTTTATGTGATCCCTTTGACTCTTAGACCTATCATTATGATCAATTGTGAGCAGAAATTGATCAGCGGGACTAGTGAGATGGCATTGGTACATAACACCTTGATGGCATTGAATTGGAATCCCCTGGTGCATTTCTAACTCTACTGTTTGGGGCAAGTCGAATTTTTAACCCAAAAATCACTCATCTTCTAATGTAGAAAGCTAATGCTTTAACATGTTTTAACAAGTGAGAAGAATAGAAAACTAAAATGGCTTGCCTTCTATCACACAAAATCCTGATTTTAAATGAAGATACCCAGGCTCAGGGAGATGATTTCCTGGAGATATCCTCCAAATAAAATATCATTTGCTGCTGATGCAGACTAGCTTACTGGATGATAATATAACAACTTATCATCTGATCTAATGACATAGGCACTTTATTAGCAGGACAATCCCTTATTACTAAGATAATCAGAAATGGAAAAATATTAAAAAGTAGTGAAAAATCAGCTAAGATATATTAGAGAATTCAGGATATTTATTAGTGGAACATGGAATTAAAAGGTGAGTTTATTTTGTTGCAAAGACATTTTTAAATCCATGGTAGACTTTTCATCCATGAACTTTTTGAAAACATCTCATACACATGGATTTCAAATTTTTTTGTCCACAAATAAATTTATTTTGTAATTCCATTTTCCTCAAACATTCTGATGTACCTTTATAGAAATAAAGGAATAGGAAAGACATGCCAAACAAATTATAAACAAAATTTATTCTGTAGCAAAATTAGTTACCAAAAGTAATATTTATATCGAGTAACGTTAATAGAGGCAAAGAAGCATCACAAGAAAAATCCCACTAGGATATATTATATTTTTAGACATATATGCAGCTAGCCACATAGCTGGAGAAATATGAAGCAAAAAGCAAAGCATTAGAAAGGAAGAACACTACCAAATCTATGACTGTGGGCAATTTTTAAACATACATTTCTCTCAGATTGGTAGATCAAGTCTAATATTTATGCTGTATGTATGTATATGTTTCTTACATGTGTATGCTTATTTATGTCTATAAAATTTTGTAGCTAAGATTCTTTTCAATAAACATAGGACATTTACAAAAATTAATGAAGAATAAAGCCCCAAAATACATTTCAATAACTGCCTGTGTATGCATTTCTGAATTATAATAGTCTTGCCAATTTTGGGATGTTATTTAAATGTTCAAAATTTTATATAAATGAGTTATATTATTTTTGTTTTGTATTTTTCCTCACACTTAATATATGGTATGTGTAACTATGGTACATGATACAAAATTTCATTATGTAAAAATACTACCATAATTTATTCTAATAATTCTCTATTCATTATGGCAGTTTTAAAGATAATGCCACTACAAACACAATTGTAGATGTACAAAGGTGTATGTGTGTGTATTTCATATAAATATTCCATTAGCTGTATGAGAATTCTTGTTCTATAATCTCATCATAAGAGTTCTATAATCTCACCATACTTGATATTGTCTTATTTTTCAATTTTATCTCATCTATTAAATGTATAGTAATATATAATTAGGTCTCATTTGCATTCCTTAATTACCAATTCATATATTCATTGCCCATTTGAATTTCTTTTGCAGGTTATCTCTTTAACTCTTTCTTTTGGTTTGTCTTCTTTGGGCTTTCTTAATACTTGGAACACCAGTTCTCTACCACTTACATGTGCTGCACATATAATTTCCCACTTTGTGGCTTCTCCTTTTGGTATATTTTGATA